TGGAGCGGTTTCTAAGCCGGACAAACCCACAACAAAACGCGTGTGTTGGAAAGTGTGGAGCGCGCAAGAAAGCGCAAGGGCAAGGAAAGGGGTGAAGGATACACGAGCAACTATTTAAGGTTGAAAGCACACCCCATGTATTGGAGCACACGTAGGGTAAGCGCAATTTGTGTTTTTTGCGGCACTGCGGGCGCTGCATAAAAGCTCGGTGTTCTGCTACTTGCCTGGTTGGAAAGACCAGTCAAGTCTCGGGTGATATGCTTCCAAGCTGCGAACATGGACAAGATATCCCGTTTCGACCCGCCAACCCCAAACCCACACTCAGCATGCGATCACAAAGAATCGATCCAGCGCCCGCGGCCAGGCGACGTGTTCCTCGGGCGCCTGCAGTGGCTCGAGGACTGCGCACGACATCCGCGGTGGTTCTTCGGGTTTTCACCAGGATCTTGCCAGACCAAAAACGGGTGTGTCTGTTTTTGAGGGTGCCCTTTTTGGGTTTGGTTTGAAGGAAAGCCAAAAAGAAATCCACCTAAAATGGTGGTTCTCTAAAAAAGGACACCCAAACCGCCTAGTTCCCAGCCTCTGTTCAAGTCAATCCTGGGTCCGCGTGGTTTCCGCAACTGAATTTCAAAGACTGGCCCAGCCTCCGTCCAAAGAATCGAGGGCGGGCGAGTGGAGAACTTGGACTTCCGCTTGCCAGAGATGGAGCCCGGGAACCTTTGGATGCATCGAGCCGCAGGGGGGCACAGACCGCTGACCGTGACTGACCGATGCTTAGCACAAGCCACGGGACTGACCGGTGATTTCCCGGAAAGGTTGGCTTCACCTGACAGGCTCGGTGTCCTTTTTGGTTGCTTTGCTAGAAAAATAGACGGCGATTCCTGGTTTACCTGGTGGTTTCATCATTTACCAGGGCCATCTATTTCCCCTAAAAGGACACCTATGCACCTGACAGACTCGGTTGCCAACGGCAAGCATGTGCAAAAGACATATGAAGTTACATGATGGCCAAGTTCCAATTGTTTAGGCCCCGCTTGCAAGACCCACTTGCGAGAGAGGTTCGGCTTTGATTGAGAAATCTAAACACCCAGAGCTGACACGGTGTCTATTGCCCTTATGTATATATCAGGTCCACACGAACCTGTAGTCCCAGTTGTTCAGGGGCACTTCTTTGCTTTGCATTTCCAACTGTGTCCAATCAAAACGACCAAAACTCGCCAAGGCTGCACCTTGGCTTTTGCCCTATCCTGGCCCGCTTGGGTGGGCAGGAGCAGAGCGGGCAGAACCAGCCCTGGCAAATGGCATGTGTCGCTTTCACCATGCAGCTGGCGGTATACTGAGGTCACAGAGAACCTGGAGTTCCAGCGCATGACTCAGCCCGAGGAGCATGCGAAGGCCCAAGCAGGCGCCCTTGGGGCAGTTGTGCCCATGCATGAAAGGCACTCAGAAACTGTAAGGGACATAAAATTAGTGCGCCACCCAATCTTCGAAGGGGCCCCTGAACATTTGGTGTGTGGGCAGCCATGATGCAGCCACCCCAAAAGGATTATGTTCTTTCTGGGGAATCTGGTCCTGCAAGTATGTAAGCCTAAGTAAGCCCTTTAGGTGGATCAAATGAAGGCAAGGCTGAAGGAACACCATGGCGCACGCTTTTTTTTGAGAAACCTGGCTTATGTTATTGGACGATGGAGCACTATGGAACACTCAGCTAACCGCTAACCCGCCCCCAAACCCCACCAAGCCACCAATGCGAACCACCAATTGAAGCGATCAACTAGGGCACTAGTCGCATTCAGCCGAGAGGTGCAGATGACAAGCCGGCGTCGGGAGAAGGAGATGGGCGCCCTGGGCGGCATCCGGAGTCAAAGTGGGGCTGACATGGGTGGCTCGCCCCAAGCGCCATGCGCCAGGCTTCTGTGGGCCTTGATTGTTTATAGTGCGAGGATTCTTGGCTTCCAAATCCAGACAAGATGCTCAGTTGTGATGGTTTGCTTGGTTGAGAGCGTATGTGTTGGAATCGTTTGCTTTGGATCTTGGAGTGTTGGCCTGCGTGATGCAACCAATTGGCGCGCAGCAGCAAAGCAGCAAAGAAACGCGCAGAGATTCGGAGTTGCCGCACACCTTTTCCCCTGAACTCTTTCCGGCTGAATCTTCCAACATGCGTTTTGACCCCTTGTGCAGTTCACTACCAAGGCGCTTGATGTAAGAATGCTGGCAGTAGGCGGTTAGACTTGGGCACAGACAATCCCAAATCAGCTTAAACATGCCATCGTGACATCTGCTGCTGCTGAGGTACACCTGGAAGGATGAAGGTGAGGAGTTAGAGGTGCTTTTGCAGGTGCCGGACAGCACCGGCAAGAAGGATGTGCCTTAGCCAGACCAGGCAGCACAAGAGCAAACCATCATCTCGTGAGTCGGGGTCTCCACCCCGTGCCCTGTAAGGGATCATTCTCCTGCACTCGCTCATTTCTGGCAATCCCAGTCAGCTAAGGGACAAGGGGGAGCTAGCTTAGGGCAAAAGGCGGTGCTTGCTGGGGTGACTTGCAGCTGTCACTGGCCCTGTCTTGCCATACTGTGGCACGATTCCATTGCACCCTCTTGCTGCGAAGGCTGGCTCACCGGTGTATGCAGCCCTTGACACATTTGTTGCGGCACATCTTGGATACGCCATGCGATCTGCAGATCGAACTCAATGTGGTTTTCCCATAATTTTGCGGGCAGCAATTGGAACACATGCGCAGGGTCATGTTGCTCCCTACTTCACACCCAAGGTAAAGATCGAGTTCCGCAGGCAGGAAGCCTCTAGTCAGCACTGCGAATCCTGCCCGCACTTCTTTTTTTTCGCGCTTCGGGGTGTGGGTGCCAAAGAAGGAGACAGCTGTACAACCTGATCTTGTTAAATGGACCAACAGGTGGGCATCAGCAAAACATGAAGCTGCCAAACTTGAGGATGTCGAACCTACGATGTGACTTGTATCGGGGGTTGACCGGGTGGGTCGGAAGACTGTTTTGCCGGTTTGAAGTATCCCTGCGCATCATTGCAATGGAAGGAGTTCTCCGGCAAGGCTTAAAATCGATGCAGGAGCTGCCCTTTTTCCTTCTTCTGCCCACCGGGAGGGAGAAAGAAAAAAGAAGGCATACGCCTGGCCCATAGTTTTGTCCGCACTCCGGGCGCCTGGGGCCCGGGGGGGGGAGGGGCCCAAGATTTGGCCGAGGTCCGGGTGCTGAAGCCGCGGGAGATGACGCTGAAGCTCTTGAAACCCGTGGAGGTGGAGGGCTGCTCCTGGACGCTGCAGCCGGGGCAGATCGAGCCTCGTCGCGCTGGGGTGGGGGGGTGGGGGGGCTGGAGGGAGGGAGGGGGGGAGGGAGGGGGGGAGGGGTAAAAAGTGGCGCGGCGGGCCAGTGATATAGTGAGCAGAGGGCCCTCCCGGTATCGATGCAAAACACTAGTCAAATACCACTAAAATGGTCCTCCCAAAAAGTTGAAAGTGCATAAACTCAGGAAGTGAGTGTTTGCTTCCATTGTTGTTGGAAGGGGGCAGCCTTTCCACAACAAAACTTCACCCATTCAACATGTGATGCCGAATTCTTCTGAGCACCATTGGAGCCATTCCTAATGCAAGTTGGTCGATCTTGCCGGATCTCAGTGAGCCAAACTTTAAAAGAACCGTTCATTTACTCTTTGTGCGAACATGGCCACACTGAAATGACATGAATTGTGCGATGATTCTTACACATGTCCATGTTCAAGGTTCCATTTTTTGACAAGCCCTTGGGCAGACTGAAACCCATGGGTGGTTGATTTCCCCCAAAGGGAACCCTGTGGGTTTATGGGGCACCCTCCCTCCCACTAACATGGCAACTGACACAGGGGGCGCCCAAGAGGAAATCATCTTCGAGGTACCCTCCCCCAGATGCGGTCTGTTCGGAGGGAGGGTAGGCTCGAAAAATGGGACCTTGAACATGGACATGTCTAAGGATCATCTCAAAATTAATGTAGACTCAGAAAACGGGCCTTTGCTAGAAGAATAGATGGCGATCCCTGGTTTACCTGGTGGTTTTTTTCTCATCTACCAGGGATATCCATCTATGTCCCCTAAAATTGGACACCTACGGAGCCCTGTCCCTTTGCCGAGGTGGTTACCTTGGAGAAAAGCGACGCTGCACCCTGGCCCCGGCTGCTGAAGGAGGTAGAGGGCCTCTTCCTGTAGGCAGGGCGTGGCACTCGAGCCATGCAGGTCACTTGGGTCTGTCCTTTGAGGGTCCCCGTTGTCGGGGTGTCAAAAGGAAGCCAAAAGGCAAACCAAAGTTAGTTTGGGGTCTCCTAAAAAGAGACACACCCGATGTTCTTTTGGCAGTGACTTGCCAAAGGACAGTCTGCAAAATGATGTTGATGCCTGGGCTGCACAGTGTTACCTGTCGTAGGTCACAGGGCAGCCGAAGCAAAGGGTTAAACGTGCGGGCAGCCATAAGCTGTTGAGTATGCTGGTAGGGCGAGCGTTCCTTCAGGCCCGCGCTTAACAAATAAGGTAACTCAAGGCTTTAATATAGGGGGTGGGGGCTGTGATGTGCCATTGGCTCGCAGCCTTTGGCTCAATCGCTTGCAGTCAGACGAGACAGTTGACATGATACCTGCATCATTGCCATGGGTTTTGTTGGGCGCGCATGTGCTCATCCTGCTCTCTGTCAAAATGGGATGTGCTTGTTGCCCGTAACCTGAGCTTGCCCAGGTCGGCTTACAAGTCGCACGATGTGCCCTTGGAATGTTTTGTCTGAGCAATCCCCAAATGCAGCCTGTGCCCTTTCTATTCCTGTTGGCTTCCGTACGGGGACAGGGCTCCCTTTCATTTCTTCCATGCAAACAGGCCTCCAGCCTTGGAGGTCCTGTTCAGCAGCACAGCCCTGGCCATCTCAGGTGGTTCTACTTGGCTTGGGAACCGTTTTCTTTTCTTTTTTTGTACCTTTTCTTTAAGCTTCACAGGCAGCTCGGAAGAACCAAACTTCGATGTTGGGCGCTTAGCCTTGGGCCTTCCAAAGATGGCCATGAGACCATGCTGCCGCTCACCTGCCTCAAAACTTCGGGACAATGCTGTCTGACCCGCGCGCAGTTCTTCGGCGGGGAGGGGGGTAGAGTGCCACAACACCCATGGGAGGTGACCAGGCAGTCCACAAAATGGTTGCCTACAGAAGATGGGATGGCCTCACGGCAGGTGTAGAAGCTTAGGAGGTGGCCATGCTTCAATGACGCCAAAGCGAGCGGTTCAGAGGAAAAGCCGTGTGATGCGCAAAGAGGCAGACCTTTGGCAGTTTTTGCATCAATACCGCAACCGTGGATTGATCAATAGCAACGCTCAAGGAGCACATAGTTGTGACAGCATTTCGGGCCAATGTGGGCACCCGAAGGCTCCCTGACGCCTTCCTAGTTGCTTTGGGATGACCCGTGGTGTTTTGGCGTTTGATTTAAGGCCAACCTGGCGCTGGCCGCTGACTCCCCGACGCCGCGCCTATGGCTTCGCCTTGCTCGCCGCAACTCGCCTCCACTGCCGGGCGCCCAGCCGCTTCCAGCGGCGGCAGAAGCGAGCCACCGCAGACGCGCTGCCCGAGCCGCGGCCGCGGCGCCTCGGAACGCACAAAATGACGAGTGGTGCTTGGCTAACTCAGCGTCGCGTTGGGTAGTGGCGTAGTTGTGTTGGATTGCAGCCATGTGAAGGCGGCCTACGGCACCAATTGCTTTGTGCGTGCCATCTGGGCCAGGAAGGCACTGCGTGTCGCAGGCATGAAAACCAGTCCTCCTTGACGGACTTGAGCTCTACTTGCCTGCTTGGAAGCTGTTGTTTCCTTTAGCACTTTGCTAGGCTTCGGGACCAAAGGGCGGCCAGTTACGGGCAAGAGACTGCGGTCTTAGCAGCTCCCTGAATCGATATAGATTTGATTGGCCAGAGCTCGGAAGGACATTTTACTCGACATGCTCGGCCTACCTCGATGTGCCACTGTCGTCAGGTGCCCACCGCTGACGCCGCCAGCGGCTGCAGATTACCCAGCGGACTTGCACAGGAGAGCTTCCTGCCTGCCTGCCTGCCTGCCTGATTGCTTGTTGTGTTTTGGTTGTTTTGTGTTGCCCCTTTTGTTGGTTTGTTTGCCCAATTGGTTGCTTGTGTCAGATTGGTCGTTTCTCAGTTTGTCTGGTGTGTGGTGCTGCGTTTGTTCGCTTGGACAAGATGGAGTTATGTTATGTTGCTCTGGGGGTTCAGCTCCACAGAGCGGCGGTGAAAATTATCCGAGAGGCGATGGTTGAAATTTTCACGAAAGCTAGCTTTAGCTAGCTGAAGTTTCTCCTTGCGTAAGCAAGGTAAGGGGCTCAAATGCCGAAAGATTGATTTTTTCAATTATTTGAGCCGAAAAGATTGAAAAACATCAATTATTTAGACCCCCCCCCCCCCTCCCCCCCCCCGGGTCTCAGGCTCGATTCCTCCCTGGTCCATCCCCCCCCCCCGGGCAGTGGCTCAGTGTTCAGCAGTCTCGGTTTGCCCGTTTTGGACTTGGTGCTACGAACTTTTACATGTTCCACCGATTCAGCTTGTTCATTTGAGACCTCAGTCTTCTCGGTAAACCACCTCGCAAGAATCTTTGCACACGCTGCATGCAGAACCCAGAGGTGCTTTAAGACAGCTTCTGACGCCTCTCGTTGTTTTCAGTTTTCAAGGTTTGCCACGCCACCATGTGCGTTTGCGTGTCGCATCCTACGAATCTTGCCGGGCCTCTCGTTGTACACAAGCTACCTATGAATCCACTCTGTCACCGACCCATCTCATGCAACAACTGCTAGCTTTCGTTCACCCGCTCCTCAAGTCTGTTCGGTGCCCTTTCCTTACACTTTCATGTTCATGGACCCGCCAACCAGATGAAAGTGAATCGCCTCCCGATAAAAAGAATGGACTGGCTTTCCAACCCAGTTCGTCCGCACTTTGTTGGCGGGGGGGGGGGGCACTCGGGTGTGGGTCAATATCAAATCACCAGCAGACCGCAGATTTGAGTCCATGTTTCCATTTACCAGGGTTCCATTTTGGGTACCTATTTTTGACACACAGCCACTTGGAGGAAGGCTGAGTCAGTACAGCAGCTACTATCGGAACGCCTGAGACGGGATGGCACTGGAGACCTGCAGGTGGTGCCTTCTCCGGAGCTGCTTCACTACAGGCCAGGGTTCTCCTTTTTTTGGCCTTGGACACATTGAGGGCCCTTAGAATAGGGAACCCTCCGAAATGGATGGGTTTTCTCTTGGTTTCCCCTTTCACCTACCTCAAAAGGGTATCGACAAAGAGATACGCTCATGTATGGCCCTCTTATCTTGAAACAGGATTCCTTTGAGAGGTCGGCCAGCGACCAGGCACCGAGTGCGCTTCGAGATTCGCCACACGGAGAACGAGACCGTCCGCTTCGCCGTGTTTGACCCAGAGGTCTCGGGCTGGCTGTTTGTGGATCATTATCCGAGTCTCGCTTCACTTGGTCAACTCTGCTTTTTCTTACCTCTTAAGAACACAACTTTTCAACTTTTTGGGTAACATGGGCTATATGTCTGTAAAAGATTAACTTCCCCAGGGCTTGGAGTTTTAAGGGGTAAGTTTTTGTTTTTTTTCCTGATGTCGGCTTCCTTTGGTTGGCGTGCTTTTCTTGGTTTGCCCTTGGTCGCCTTTCTGGTCAGCTTCCATGATCTCATCTTGGCCCGGAAAAAAGTGGTCTCCGTGTGGCTTCCTTTTGCCCAGTGAGCCTCGGAACATCGGCGATCCCGCCTTCCCGTCGCCACCAAAGCTGTCAGGATCGCCTCGCTGCGGATCAACCAGCTGATGGCGGACTTGCGCGCAGCGCTGGAAGATGACCAGAAGCTGCGGTGGAAGGCTTTTCAAGCAGCCTGGCAAGGCTTCCATTGGAGGTCCATCACTTTGTCAGAATTTTCTTGCCTTTAACACGCGCTGCCATGGGCTTGCGATTGGCATGCGAATTCCTAGGGCTGGGTTTCAGATGCACGTGCTCAGGGGCTGGGAGGGCTCAATTTGGAGGTATGAGTTGTATGAACTTATGAACTGGTTTCATCGCTCATCGACGGGGGGCTTCTTTGGATGAAGCTTTCATTCTGGGTCATTTGATTGGCGCCCCACACAATGATTGGAGTCTGTCTTGGGCAACGCCTCTGGTTCGTTCCATTTCTGGGTCGGAAGGCCGCATGTTTCTGCCCCGAGTTCATTCTGGGAAGGTAGCGCGATGTTGGATCCCACTTCTCTGGAGCGTGTTCTGCGTGTCTGATGCATAAATGCATCTCCAAAGCTGCGCCAGGTCTCCGGTCAGAACAGACGGAATTTCTTGGAAGAACATGTTCACTCTGCGCCTCGGGGAGCCCTTCAAATAGCTTGCATTCCCTTGGATGCTGATCCGGATTTGGTGTTTGCCCCGCATGCCCCGCTTCCGGCCATGAACTTGACACATTCCGCCTGAACTACCGCGGATGGTCTCTTGACTTCTTAGTGTTGCTTTCCTGCTTAGTGATTCAAGTAGACAAGTGGTGGGTGTGCTGCACCGTGTTTACGCAAATACATACACACACACACACACATATATATATATATACACATCATAAGTACACATGTTGCTGGCTGTTGTGCAGTGCGACAGTAGCGCGGGCTGCTATTGCCTAGCGCTGTTTGCAAGTTCCGTTGATGCAAACACTGCCCTCGTGTATGTATGTAGAGAGCAGGCAACAGTACACATCTATATGCATATTGGAATATATTGGAGGTGTTTGCTTGTGCCCTCAGACCAGCATGTCGTTCTACATGGCTTGAGGACGTTTGCGGCTTTCAGCCTCCACCACCCTCGACGTCCGGCCTGTGTTTTCCTCTCTCTTCTTTTTTCTTTGTTTGTTGCTGTTTTTTTGGGGGGGAGGGGGAGTGGTGGGGAAAGCAAGTATGATCAAGTATGTAACTTGTTGAGCTTTGTTTGACACAGTAGTTTTTGCTCCAGAGGGCACAGGCACAAGTCTGTTTGTGGACGCGCTCAACTAAGGTGGAGCTGCTGTCCAATACTCAAGGACAGGGTCTGGCGCTGATTATGTACCACAGGCCCGTGGTTCAGGGCATTTTCTTGACGAATGGCTGCTTGTGTTCCCAAATTCATGCAGTTCTGATCAGCCACTGCTATTCAACTTGCTTGGTGTTGGTTTCTTGTTGTGTTTTGTGACTGGGTGCATGTGTGTGTGTGTGGGGGTTACTGCGTGGAGCCTGGGTTTGTGGCTAGGTTTGCCGTTGCTTTGCTTGTTGCGTTAGCTCAACTTGCCACAGCGGCCGCACGGAGCCAATGTCTCGGGCCAAGGGCTGGCTCATAGATGACTTCGGCGGGCCGTTCACGCTGGGGACCAGTCCGGTCAGACACTTGTGCCATGACTGGCGTGGCAAATGCAGCCTGGGAAAAGTGCAGCTGGAGTATGGTGGTGCAGGTATTTGGAATGTGCAATGTGGTATTGGTAGCAGTGCCGGTACTGGGGTGGTGATGGCGCTGGTGGTCATTGGGGTGAAGGTGGCTGTGGTGCTGGCGGTGGAGGTGGTGATGATGGAGTGGCGGTGGTCGTTGTGGTGGTGGTAGTGGTGTTGCTGTTGTTATTTGGGCTCTTCTTGCTATTGCTGTTGCTGCTGGCGATGAATGTGGCACCAGTGATGGTGGATGTGGTTGTATACGGCCATGATTTTGAAATAAGGAACCTCAGAATAGTTGATATGAATCCCCTCAATGTCCACAAAGGGGTCTCCATGCTCCGTATGCTTTGTGGGACTTCTAGGCACATCCACAACCTTGCGGGTGTTTCAGCCGGGGATCCGGGAATGATCCTCATACACCATCCCTTGTGGTTTCCTTTAAGGGCCTTCCCTGGTTCGCTGGGGTCTTATTTTGACTGGTAGGGGTTAAGGTCAGAAACCGGGGCGACTTAGTTCAACCAAAGACTTGCAGGGGGTGACTTTGGTAAGGTCATGGCCCAACGACTCACTTCCTGAGTTCATGAACTTTAAACCTTTTGGGAGGACCATTTTCGTGGTACAGAACAAGTTTGGACTTTTTTGGGGGCCATCCACTCAGCCAGTCGTTGCCAACGGGGCCAGAAGTTCCTTCAACCCACCCACCCGGACTCCGCCAGGCGCCTGGATGCGGAGGACCAGCTGCTGGCGGCTCGGCTGGGGCAGCGCCTGGAGGCCGCGGTGGTGCTGCGGGCCAAGCGCCAGCGGCTGCCGAAGACGGGCGGCTTCCTGCTGCAGGCGGGGTGGGGGGGGGTGCGCTGGGGGGGGGTGCAGGATGCGTTGGCTTGGAAAGCAATTGCAAATATGCATGTATATGCATATTCTTTCTTGAATCAATATTGCGACAACGCAACAAGAGCACATCATGAATGAGGGTCGGTCCCGTCGAGCCTGTTTTAGTGGGCCGGGCCCAGCAAATCAACCTTGTGGCAATTTGACTGGCCACCTCACAGAAGGTTGTCAGAAAGATGACTTGGCTTCGGGCATGAGGCATGGTTGCTCCGACCCTCGGAAAATGCGGCCTGTGTTTTTTTGTCTCAACATGGCTCGCATAAAGAATTCCAAGGTTTGCAACCCCATTGTTGTATTCAAGCTCGCCGGGAGCGCTGCGGAGAGCGGGCGTGCCATTTGTCAGAAGGTTTCACAGTTCGTCTCAAAGGGTCCGGGAGGGTGTGTTAACTTAAACATTTTGAGCAGCTGTTGCGTGTTGGGCTGTCCGTCAGCTGCTCATGGTCCGACTGGAGGCGTTTTTTCGGTCTACCTTCTCAGGTGGTTCCCAAAAAACAACATCCGAATTCCGCATGCTTGGAGGCAAGCAAGGTACCCGCGTCAGGAGAACGAAGTGGCGGGCAAGCTCTATACCCAGCAGCCTGCACCTAAGTTGTCCCCAATGCCTAGAAACG